GAAAGCTCGTATCAAACTAACTCCCTCACAAATTGAATTTTAAAAAAAAAAAATTGTATTCTTTGAGGATGAGAGATGGTATGAAAGTGTCGAAGCACTTGAATGAGTTCAACAACATAATTTGTCAACTCGAGAGTATCAAGGTAATGATGGATGAGGAAGATAAGGCGGTGATGTTGCTCTGTTAGTTGCCGGAGTCAATCTTGTTACTACCTTAAGTTGTAACAATGAAGAATCCCTCAAATTGGATTTGGTTTGTCGTGCTCTACTTGCCAATGAACTTCAAAAGAAGGTATCGATGGATGATTCGATGGGCTCAAGAATGGATGTACTTTTGGCAATGGGTTAATTCGTCAAGAGATTCCTCAAGTAGCCGATCAAAATCGAGGGGGTCTTATGACAAAGGTTGTTGGTTTTGTGGAAAGCCCATCCACATAAAGAAAAATTGTTAGCAAAGAAAAGGGCAAAATACCTTAAAGGGTTCCGGTTCGGAAAGAATGGCAAGGTGAGACCAAGGATGAGGCTCACCAAGTCGAAGAATCAATATCCAGTTACATTAAAGAATAGGTGTTAATGATGGGATGTAATCCCATGTACTATCAAAGTTGGATACTTCATAGCGGAACCACACATCATATGTGCCAACATCGATCATGGTTTGATGCATATGAGCCATGTGAGGGTGGTTTGGCATCAATGGGAAATAATTAAACGAGTAAAACAATTGGAATCGGCTCGGTTTGCATAAGGATGTATAATGGGATGGTTTGAATACTTGAAAACGTGAAACACGTGCCAGATTTAAAGAAGAGCACGATTTCATTTTCTTCTCTAGATACGGAAAACTACAAATTTAACGGGCAAGGTGGAGTGCTCAAAGTTTCAAAGGGGACTCTAATTAGATGAAGGGAGTCCAGGAAGGAAACTTGTACAAATTATAAGGATTTGGGACGCACAATTGTAAATGAAAAGGTAAATTTGGTTATTGAAGAAGAAGCTCGACAAGGCCACATAGTTTGGCAATTGAAGATCATAGTGACAGAAAGCAATGTCTTAATAAGGATATTCAACAAGGTGGAGAAATTGAAACACTTTATGAAATTCCTTCGAGCCAATGCTCAAAATTTAAAGAAGGAAATGTCGATGTGATGAAAGCATTGCATGTTACCATTGTTAGAAAAACCAGGCGATCTAACCGCTAACAGCCCGGTTAGACGGGCTGGTTCCGGTTTTGGGCGGTTTTGGTGATCGACCGGTCTTTAAAAAAAAATTTCAAAAAAATATATATAAATTTCAAAAAATAAGGAATTTGGTTTGTAAAGCATTTTTTTAACATTATGGTAAAGATTAAATTTCGTTTTTGTCATTAATATTCACTTTAAGTCAATAATCGATTGGTTAAAATCTAATTTTTTATTAATTTTCAACTTCATTTGAATGTGTTTTGTTTTAATCATTCTTTATATGCCTTTCATATTTTAGTAAAAAAAAAATTGTAGCGTTTTCATATTTTTTCAACATTTTTTTGACTGCCTGAGAATTGCCCGATAAGAACGGTTGAATCGACCGGTTTACTAGTTAGGCCAGTTAAACCGCATCCGGGCCTATGCCCAGTTAACCGTTCCAGTTTGATTTTGCAAACACTACCTGCTACTCTAGTGTTAATTTTGATATTGTCATGATTAGTATAAAATTCGTCATTACACTTGTTTATTGCATCCTTGATTGGCTTGTGTTTAACCTAGGAAGAAATCGTTGGAATGAAGTGAAATAGGTACTTCAAAATTTGAGAAGTATGAGCAAGCATTACCAAGACTATGAACATAAACAAGGCTTCATGGGAGAGATTTATGCAAGGGATCTCGGAGACATAAGATCAAGCACCAGTTGTGCTTGTAGGTATATAAAAAATGATTCACTTAAAGCAAGTGAGAAGGAAAGATGGCCTCAAGAACTCAAGAATGAGAGTGTTGAAGAAGGTGGAGCTTGCATAAGAAGAACAAGCATGAAGGAAGATGAGCAAAGCATTCTCACAGAGGTTATTAGACTAGAGAGATTGCGACACTGGCTAAGTTCTCTGGGTTCCTCAAGAAAAAAATAACTGGATATGGTTGGCAAGGTAAGGATGTGATTTTGCATCAAGATGGAGACTATTGGAGAGGTGATGCAAAAATCACCTCCTATTGACCTATGGTATTTCCCTCAAAGCCAAGGGCTATTTTTATCACAAGAAATGACTTTTATGGATGCCCATAAAAGTTATTGTGTAGAGAGAGAAATGGGAGTTTTTGTGTGGGAGCTCTTAGTGAGAAGAAAAAAAGAAGTTTTGGTAAAGAATAGAGATTGAGGGTTTTGGCAAACCCTAGCTTCATAGTGGCCTTGTATTGGGTCGGATTTCATCGGTGTTTCTTCGCAGCGATGGCGTTGGGCAACGGTAACAAAGAAGGGAGTCGATCGATGGTATTATTGTGGTGGGAATATCAATTAGAGATTTTCTTAACATTGTATAAGGTAACCTCTATTATATCCCAAACTTGTAATTCTTCCATTGATAGTGAATCATTTCCTTGCCAGTTGCCTGTAGATGTAGCCCGATTTTGGGTGAACCATGTATATTATGTTTATAGTGCTTTGATTATGGTTTGTAGTGTATGGTTGTGCCATTAAAGGTCCTTTTTTACTTTTTCTTGATTTCATTATATTTTTACCAAACTTACTACACCATATAATCGATTCTTGGGTATTGGATTTATTGGAATTAAATTGCGAGGTGTTAGATTTGTTGTAATGGGGGTTCACCGCAACAAGGGGTAATCGAGATAGCCTCAGTTTCCAACAACTACTTCCAACGAGAAAATTTTCCTTCATTCTTGTCTCCAAGATTTTAGTTCAAATATCTTCTCCCTTTCTAATTCTTTTGGAAAGACCTACTAGTAACTTCCAACATTATATATATAATTCTACAAATATACAAAGATCATCGTTTATTTGGAAAAAGCAAACTAAGGAGAAGGGTCTTCCACATTTCTATTGAACAAGAAACGATTATTTTATTTCACTAAGGCTTATGAATCAAGATTATCATAAATTCTTATATAACAAAGTTTCCCTTTCAAACTTATTTTCCATGTTGAGTTTAAGGGGAAGATGAACATTAGATGCAATACATTTACAAGCATGAACATGATAAGGGGAGTTTGACCATTTTGTTACTTTTTATGCACTTCACATGTTGTAGCCTTATTAAAATAAATTTATTCAGTTATAGGTAATATGGGAACAAGAACGCAGTCCACCACTATGATTGATTAGTAAGAAATCATTGTTCTATTCATGCAAATTGCAATGTTTCTAGAAAGATTTCGTTCTTTGAGATACACTCTTTATTAAGTCCCCTTAAAATAGACCCAGAAAAAAGGCTTTAGCCCTCATTACACAAGGGTTGTCAGCAAGCCAACTAGCTCCAAGTTGGTTCGGCTTGTAGTGAGCCAAGCTTGAGCAATATTTTGCAGCTTGACATGTCAAGCCAAGCTATATTCATTAAAATCTACAATGTGTATTTGAAAATCACATTTAATCTAGAGGCATGGCTTATGCTTGGCATGTTTATACATTGACTATAGCTTCTCAACTATAAGAATGTTTATGGCTTGACTCGGCTTCTTAAAGGGCTCGCCAAGTAAAGACCTCAAACCAAGCCAATCTCAAGCTTACCTCCACTTAATCAAGCCAAGCTCAAGATGGATGTTTCAAGTTTGAGTCAAGCTCAAACTCATCCTCTAACCATGCAAGGCAAGCTTGGACATGTCCAAATTTAGCTCATTGACACCCCTACAGTTCACCTTTTCTTTATCGCAGTATATTGAGGAGCTTAAATTCTTATACACCCTGTGCTCTTCACCTCAAAAAAGGTGATTTGGAAATTATTGTATATTTACAAGGAATGTGCAAATTCACGTGATAGTTTCTTCCTGAGTTCAACTTAAAGAATTATTATTAGTTATTACTAATCAATTAAAGAATTATTATTAGTTATTACTAATCAATTGGTGTTTCCTCAAGAACAAAAACAGATAGCTAATAATATGAAATAGTTAGACATGTTAATGCATAAAAAATTAGCATTTTAAATGCTTGGAGCCATTGGAATCCTTAAAAAGGTTAACATGCAACATTATCAATACTTTTACTGCAGGAAATTTACCATTCTTTTTAAAGGATGATGAATGATTGGAGCCTTAGGTATCCTGAAAAAGGTTAACATGCAACATTTATCGATACTTTTACTGCAGGAGATTTACCATCCTTTATCAAGGACAATGTCCACTATTAGAATCAGCAATTAATACCAGATCATTCCATCAAGATACTAAGAAACCAATGTCAACAACTAATAGTATAGAAATAAAGAAGCAACTCAGAACACTTATGCCTGAGTTATCACTCCATCAAAATTCATCGAACATTGGAAAAAAAAACCATAGCTGCCTAAAAACTATACAGTCAAACACTAACTCATCACGTAGGTTTAGCCTTTTAGGTGCAGATGTAAACAACTTCAGCTTTCATGAAAGCTTTATATACAAAAAGACAGTGTGAAAAGATAAAATAAGGCAAAAATAAGATAGTTAAGGAAGTTGGAGGTTAGCTGTTCCGAGCTTTTCTTCTAGAAAATAAGTAATTGGGTCATACATAACTTAAAATTCTGTATGAAGAAAATAACAGACCATAAAAGATAAACAAGTGCTCGGATTATAGAGCCAAACATTAGTCCCAGTGTTCCACAAAGGATTTAAGTCAATTTGACCAAAACTTCATTCCATTTATTTGTAAATAAGCTATCATTGGTCTATAAAATAAAGAAGGCCATTGTTTACTGCACAACAAATACTGCAAAGGCATGACATCACAAGGAAATTCATGGTGAAGCAAAAGGAATAACACATCAACATGCTCATGCAAAGAAATAAGCACAAAAAAATTTAGGTTGAAGATAGTACCAAGCAATGCAGCCATCCGAAACTTTTCTCTCATCACTCTCACAAACTTGAAAAGACAATTAGTTTGATTCAGCTCACGGAGTAAGTCGTCTGTGCCTTCTAAATTTGGATCACAATCTTGCACTAAAATATGAGAAAACAAATTAAGAAATAATATAGTCAGTAAAGGAAAGTACTAGCAATGATGTACCTAAACAAGATAAGGAAAGAAATAGACCTGCCTTGCAGGCAGTGTAAAACCAAAGAGTGGCAAATATGAAAGCATTGTAAGTGTGTCAAAGGGACCTAATATTATAGGGAAAACTAATCAAAAAGCAACAAAGAAATAAAAACTTACAATAGTATTTATCTTGCCAGTGACGAACAGTGAAAGAAAACTCTTTCTCTGGATTCCTCGGATCAACTTTATTAAATATGAACTTAATTCCTATGATAAAGATAGCGGTCAAAGGACAGAAGATATATTGAATGCAAAAATGTATAAATTCATAGCAATCTCCTCGGTTACCATGGCCCGCTTCAATTCGAAATCCAAGGAACCTATTGTACCATTGGACTGCCCCTTCTTGCCCTTTCCTGTAACTGATATTCTGATCATTCATTTCCTCAAGTGTCTCCGAAGCTTTTGTCAAGAAAAATTAACAATGATCATGACTGAGAAACGATAAAAAGATAAGAATTTAAAGCTTATTGGCTATTGATTACAAGCACATGGGCAAAAAAAAGAAGACCAGCTAGAAGAAACCAAAATCCAATACATATTTTGGACACACAATGCTAAAGATATAACAAAATAATCAATAAACAAGAAGTGTTTTTATCATGGATTAAACGAGATATCATCTCCATAAAAAAGTAGATCATATTTTAAGTTTTTAACCAATTATATGAAATGAAAAATAAGGATGAAAATGCAATGGTTTACAGCAAATGTAAAAGTACACATACCAAGTAAAACTCGAGATATTATTGTGGCATACTCATCTTTCTTTGCCCTTTGATTTTGTATGATGTTTTTTAGCTCTTCATTTCTAGCTTTGGCAGCAGAAATCGATTCAGTAATAGACTCACACTGGGAATTTCTGTTGGCCTTCTCTGTATGAAAAAATTAGAATACATTTAGATATCCACTTGGCATAATGATGCAATTGCATGTAAAAGATATGTATAATTTTAATAGCAAAAATATTCTTTAAAGTTCAATTAAAAATAGCAAGAGAGTAAAGAACAAATAATACATATCCATTAAAAAGTGAATAGGTTCTCTCCAAATGCCACAAAGGAAGAACAAATATAAAAAGTGGTTGCATTGGAAGAAATGATAGATTGCAAGGATAGCTACATAATAAGCATATACATTACAAGTGCGGAAAAAAACCAAGTGCAAGAACAAAGAAATGCATGCTCCCTTCCCCCCCTACATCCCACACAAACACACACACCATGATACAGTTGAGACGTAGAAAATTAGAAGCAACTATCATATATAGGAGGCGGGAACACCAATCAACAAGATGCGAACATTGACCACCACGGCAATGAAAACTCCAACAAAATCAAGAGTGTGAGTGATGCAAGATAGTTACAATCCCCTTGCTTCTAGACAGTTGACCAAGTAAAACATGGAATGCATTTTACAAATTGATATTGTCAAAACAAGCTCATGTGGATAGAGTTGCATGTCAATGCTTATGTCATTAGTGATGCTATCTCCATTAATGTTAAGCCTGTACATATACACTCAAGCAAAATAGGATGGAGAGACACAAATACAAGATATAAAAACACTTAATCCCATTTCAATCCCGAACAAGTAGAGTCTAGACTCTAAATCAATGGTTTAAAAATTGCCGATCCAATCCAGAATCGAGCGATCCAGATCGGGTATCGATGACACCATTCTAAATCCACAAACAAAACCGAATGCGGCCGTTTTTCTCTTTTGATGACATCACCATCCCGTTTTTCTCGCTTGATGACATCACGAATCGTGCCATGGCATCATGTATGCCACGTGTCCATGCAATTTTCCAATTTTCCGCCATGTGTCAACGCAAAAAGGCACGAAAACCCACCAGACGCTAGCTCATGCGCGTGCCTCCTGCCGGTGCCACCCGCCAACTCATGCACGTACCTCCACCACATGCACGTGCATCCCAAGTTCTCAATGGGTTTTATTTATATGTACTTGCGCAATCCTATATCTTCGATGTGCGATTGTTTTGCTTCTTTAAAGAGGAAAACTAACATACTAACTTAGGTGGCATATTAAAGGGCAAAAACGCACAACAAGTGCTGAAAAAGAGTGCGTGTACTTGCAGGATCACAATGTACATTTAATCCCTTAGGTGAAAAAGCTTACTTATGGAGTATTTTTGGATCTCAAATATTTTCTTTTTGAACAATAAAAAAGGATCTAAAATATTGTGTTCTACTTTACAATCTATCAATATTTATAAAAATAAAAAATAAATAAAAAAAGGATTTTGAGTTTCTAAGTAGTTAATTAAAAAAAAAAAAATTATGAGAGTCATACCTTGTTTTCTAAATCATGTTTATTATAACATTGTAATTAATAATTATACAAATTACAATAATAATCAAATATTTTATTTTATTTATTAATTTATTTACATTATAAATTATGCAATGTATTATTTTTTGTTATAGTTGTAAATTAGATTTTTAAATTAGATGATTTTATAAGACAAATTTCAAATTTATTCTTATTTGTATAGTAAAATGATGATAAAATAATAAAATACAAACCAAATAATTCTAATGTCAATGTATAATATTGTATTTAGTTAGGTTTTAATAAATGTTTGATGAGAATCTTCATACATGGAATGAACAACTCAATATTCACATATTGATGCAAAAAAATAAAAGTAGTACCCTCATTTCTTATTGGATTCCTAAAAAACAACATTTATAATGATTTTTAATAATTGTTTTGAATTTTTTTAAGGCTGAATCGACCGATTCGGCCGATTCTCGATCCGAAACACTGATTCACCGATCCGGATGGGTTTTGGTGGTGTCCGATCCAAGGCACCGATCCATTTTTTAAACCACTGCTCTAAATAAATCAATACAAAAGAAAAATGACAACCCCACACTTATTATGTTTCTGGTTTGTGAAATCATTCAGGTATTGCATAAACAACCATACCCGCTTGTTCAATTAATTGTACCAAAAATCGTGCTAGGAATAGATTTATTCAGCATTAAGAACTCATTTTTTGATAACTATTTGAACGGATGAGAACCAGGCTGAAGTGGTCAATATCAGTTTAATTTTTGTTCAACTGGTTTAATTAGTTGAACAAGTGATCAACAGGATACGACAAAAGCAGTACCTTCTCAGTTTCAATCTTCAATCCAGATTTTAAAACCATTATCAAATACAATTACTTAAGATATACTTCTTGCACCTAAGAAAGATAAAGTGAGTTCTTCATTGATTCTTTGATAATTAAGACTTTCTATTTTGTATATAAAATATTTAAAGCTTACAGCATATGAAAGATCAAAATCTAGAAGCATGAATATTAGAGGAGCAAGACATCAGTGAAAGAGATAGCAAAAGTATAAAGGATGGGATTGATAGTATAGATACTATGCTTTTATTCATTAGCGGGACAGAACAGAGTGTGATCCTAGAAGATGATTTGGAATGTGAATGGACAGCGATCATCAATGGAGAAGGTTGTCGTGAAATGTACTTTGCAAAGTGACTATGGATCTGAAAGCAACAAAATTCCAAGGCTCATTGGCGAGGATTGACGATATTCTGGTTGAGATCACAAACAATCCAGACGCCCCTCCTCTAGCTGCCATCCAGATCAACATAATAAATGTGCTAAGGATAACATCAGCCTAGCCAATCTTGGGAGTGCAATTCATTAAATGGGAGAAGAAGAATTGAAGTGTCGATCTGGGACCAGTAGGAGCTGCAAATTCAATATGGGTTGAGACAAACACTGCATCGATTGGGACAACAATATCAATGCACCGTGTTGCTCAATGAAGTATCATTTATAGCAAGTCTTCAGATGTCAACAGATCAATTAGAAGGGACTCCGTAGTCATCCAAAACTCAAAGATATTTTGCAAAGTAATAAGAGTACGGCATATATTGTTGCCATGTATGTGTGACACTCCCCTGGATGAACTTTTTTAATAAGAAGTTATTAACAAAAGTGAACTCCCAAAAAATCAACCAAACAGAACTCCAAATCCTAGGGACATTGTCTTTAATTTTTTAAAAGCATCTTAATGCAACCTATCTAGATTTAATTTCAGGTACTATCAGCATTCTTTTTCCGTATTTTAATCCAACTAATATGATGAAAATGTAGATTAAAGATACCAAATTTTTCTTTACATCCCACCTAGCAAGATCGACATCTAAAAAGGAACAGTCCCATACTATTCAATAATAAAGGAAAAAGACAACCAATCTTTCCATGCTAAAATTGGGAAAGAGACGCTTGTCAAGCACTAAAAGCATGACATGTATATGAGCCTCCACAATAATTCATTATCCATGTACAACCCATTCTCATCTCATGCATGAACTAAAAGATCAATCCACTACTAGAGGAATTTCTGATCCAGAAAAAGGGCATATCCACATACCAAAATAAAATGGTTAAAACAGAAAAGTCTTTATGGATTGTAACAATCGAACTTTATTATTTGCCTCGTTATTATTTACCAAGAAAAAAAGTCAAGTTGTGAAGCAATAATAAAAAGCAGAAAAATTTAACATTTGCTATGAGGAGAAATATCATGCCTAATTAAAACGTATAATAAAGTCCCAATGAGATTAAAAAAAAGATAAGAGGTGCATAAAATAATTAAATAAGGCAGTATGACTGTATGTGAGAATTAAATGAAACAAGAATAGAAAAAACATATCAAACCACCATCTTACTTGCTTCAGCCAAATCCAAACCATCTTCCAACTCTCTCAGGCGCTCTTTAAGCTTCCCAATTTTTACTGTAAAAACAAAATCAAGTTACATCATAAGAGCTAGACATAATAAGAAAAATAAATTCAACTCAAACACCTCAATGTTTTCTAGAAATGTTCAAAACATCTCTTACAAACATTATACTAATATTCAAAATTGTCTGAGTACAAGAGCAAAGACTTTAGTCCATCTTTTAACTTTAAAATGCTTCAAAATTGGCCCAGATAACATTCAATAGGCGAATATTCCTACGTAAACCTATGCCATAATTTCTAGTCATAAATCCGACACAAATCTTTCGTAGATCTTTTTTATTTTTCATTGAAATAACATCGATAAACAACATTCAATTAATTTCCAGCTCCCGATAATTTTGGCAATCAAGAGCATTAAGGCCACATCTAATGGTGGTTTTGGGAAATTCAAAAATATCCAATGGAACGGAGACAAATTCACATTGAACTGAGACAATTTCACAACAAAAGGAAAACGTCTACAGTGACGATGAATAAAGAAAGAACAAACTCTACACAAGAATAAAAGCCTCCAACCCCCACTTATTTAAAAAGGAAAAAGTGAACAATATTTCGACTTTTCAATAGTGTCACCAACGGACAAACTCAAATTACAAAATTTGAAACGTCAAATTCTACATTGCCTAGACTGGAAGCAACAAAGACAATATTGCATAAAGAACAAAATGGGTGGGTCGAAGAGCTACTCCCTTGCGTTATCACAGTACAATGAAACCAGCCAAAACTAGATTAACCACGATTAATCCCAATGTACCCAATTGAATCCCACAACGAGAATCACAATAAAAATTAAACAAGACACAAAAATCCAAGCCTTTACAAACCCTAATCATTAACCACGATCAATAGCACCGTTGAGTCATTAAAGATCAGAAATGCCAAATATGAAATAATTTACAATAGAAATTCACATGGCATGTATAAAGCATAGAAGAGGAAAAAAAAGGACGGAGTAAAGGCATACCTAGGGTTTCAACCGATGAATCAGCTGCGGTTTTGCACGATTCCAACAACTGCGAAAGTTTATGTTTTGCAGAATTCACCCTTTTTTCTTGGATTTCTGCTTCATTTACACAGTTCAGACATAAATCCTTCAATTGCATTTGCATCTTTTTAAGATCTTGGGGTTTCTGGTTAGGACATATGATCAGGGTAGGGAATTCGGTTTAGAGATAGGCAGAGGACTTGGGGTTTAGAGAGAGAGAGGAGTGGAGTTTTGAAATCTGAATTTTCCGGATTTTTCCCTCCCGTTTTTATTGGCCCTTGGTAAGGTCGCGTTCTTTTATCGAGATAACTGAAATGCCCTTCGAAGTAACCGAAATTAACCAAGTATACCCCCCGTAGAAAGTACGCTATGATCATGTGATCAAATGAATTTTAGTCATAGGGGTCCTTCCCATATGATAAATAAGTTGGACGGTGATGAAGAACGAGTGAAACTCCCATATCATCGTCATCACCATCAAAGGGATTGATTGAACGATAAAGATCATATATCATGTGGTAATATGGATTATAGTGTACTTTCTTTCTCAGTTTCAAAACCTAACATTTTAGTGGCACATGGTAGGGATATTCATGAAAACAAAATCCAAACTAAGAAAGGGATATTGTTTTTTCGAGGATAATTTCACAATATAGAGAAGTGCATGTTACATGTAATAAGATAGAAAAGTATATATTACATTATTATATTAAATCCAAAAGAAAGAGATATTATTATTTCATTGTGAGATAGAATTAACAAAGTGTATATTGTATGTAACAATATAAGAAAGTATATGTTATACTATTATATTATTATTATATATAATAATATAATAGTATAAAACCACTACAAGAGAAGCTTGGGGCACAATTATTTTCTTGAAAAGTTCTTCTCTCTCTCTAAAAATTTCCAGGAGGGTAGAAAGCATAATTTTTTAATTTTAATTAAAAGTAAAAAGTTCCACTAATGTATAATAGTCTTGCGCCCAAAATTTAATGTACATTTTAATTTATTTTTAAGTCATTCAATAATGATATAGGGCTTTTAAGGGATCGTATACAATGAGACTATTTACCTTTGTTACAAAAAAATCACAATTACTTATAGCCATCCGATGTGAAATCTGATAGCTTACGTGTGTCACAAAGTTCAAGAATTTTTTTAAAAAAATTTGATTTTGGTCAATGGAATAAATGTGGTCACCCACTTTCACATCCAATGGTCAAAATTAATTGTGATCACCTTCTACCAAAGATAAATGGCCTCATTATATATTTTTTCATTTTTTAAAGCCACTAGGTAGTAATTATGCAGTTTGATTTTCCAAAATTTATTCTTCTTATTTTCCAATTGTTTTTAATTTTTAATAGATTTTATTGTTTTGAGATAAAAATCTATTTTTTAAAGGTAACTCCTATTTTGAAAATTTTATATTAACTTGATAATTTTTGTAAATAATGAGATTTTATTAAAAAATAATAGAAAAAAAAAAACCTAATATAGATGAATTTAGAGTATATAAGAGAGAGAGAGAGAGAGAAAGAGAGATCATGAGTAAAAAAGAGTAGTAAAAAAGAGTAATATGAGATGCTCTTTTTTGTAAGTAATGTGGTCTTCGTTCCAAAATTCATCTTGACTAGATTTTAAATCCAAACTTTTACAGTTCAATAATATTGTCTACAGCCAAATCCGAGAGAGTTTTCCCTAAGGTGACATTCTCTTATTTGAACTCCAAACTATTTAAACTATAAAAATTAGTAGAGAGTGCAGTGTTGGTCGAATTAGAATCTCAAGAAAAAAAAAATGATTGATAGATCGGTTTCCTCCTCATATTGTTGGCAGCATCAATTGATTTTCTATCCTAAAAACATTTATAAACTAATGCAAACATATCTGAAAATAACTAAAAATCGAAACAAACAGGAAAACTAATAATATACATGCCTGGCCCAATTGGCCTGGGAAGTCTAAAAACATGGAAATGGGACCCGTATCAAGACTGCGGGTTGTTTACACCATTGTTTTTCCTTTTCACCTTAGAAATGGATTGAAATTTATCTAATAAAGATTAATGTTAATGCTAGGTTTTTCAAAGTTCAATGACCTAGATCTAGGGTTAGAGTTCAAGCTCCTAGGTTTTTAGGGTTGAAAGCTTAGGCTTGGGAGTAGGGTTTAAGGTTTTCCTAAACTAGCTGGAATTGGGGTTGGCTAGGGTTTCTGAGTTTTTTTCTCTCTCTTGAATATGCTTTTCTCTTTTCACATCTAATCCCCTTCAAAAGACATATTTTAAGTATCTTTATAGAGCTCCAAAACAGTTTCTACACGGTTTGGATGCTATTACATCATGTTTATCTCAATGTTTTAGTAAGAAATGGTCAATATACATAGACAACATGATTCTCGTCGTTTAAGGTCATTTTTTCCTGGACAACACGATTCATGGTGTCTAGAAAAGTTTCTTGGACGATACAAATCGTATCGTCTAGACTTGGATGAAATTTTTACTAAACAAATTTGTCTGAGACATATCTTTTAATTTATTGATTCGTGCAATTTTTGGACCGTTGGAAAGCTCTTGATCTCCTACCAAAATTAGCCCAATTTGGATAAAATTTGAGAGGTCTAGAGAGCTAGGACTTTTGGGTGTCAGTTCTAGGTTTCAGGGTTTTGGTTCAGAGTCTAGGTTGGTTTCCTATGTTTATTAGGCTTAGGACTATCTAAGATGACTATTTTGAGTATTGGCTGAGCTTAACTTTTAGGTTTTAAGTCCAAAGAGGTGTTTAGTATCTACTAGGTTGTTGTGATCACTTGGGTTTACTAGGCTGTTTTTATCCCTAGGGCTTACTAGGCTATTTTGATACCTAGGGTTCACTAGGTTGTTTTGATGCATAGGGTTCAAGAACTTAGGAAAAGTTGCCAATTTCACTATTGGGTGTCTACAAATATTGACCACCGCAATCACGAATCTACTAAAAAAATGAAACGTTAAAAAATAATCTATCATAATTTATTTATTTTTAACATTTATTTTTCTTCATCATAGACCATCAAACTTGAACTAATGTGAGTTATAAAATCATTGATTTTAAAAGGAAATGAAATGCATTTAGAGTGACTTAGAATATGTTTTAAATCTTGAATCCGAATAAAAAAACAGGTTAGACTTGAGCATATAAGGATACATGATACATTTCCCTTATTTATTCACATATGTATGATATGTGTTCCATAGCTGTGGTCAAACATCCAGAGAAGATCTAACGTTCCAGATGCATAGACCCTCCCATGAAGGATAACTCAAAATAGCAAGATTAAAATATCATATACATAGTTTGTTCTTTGTTTTGTCCTCGTCCATCCACTATCTTTTTTTTCTTTTTAATTAACTGCTAATGTATATCTTTCATAAGCTAACAAATTTGGGGCTTGTTTGGATAAAAATTAATTTTATATATGACTATATATTATCTTATATGAAACTAATATATTATGGGCTAAGTTATCTTATTATTTGTTTGATACATATCTTGTATTATAAGGAATGGTTTCTATGTTTCTTCTATTGTATATAAGTTATATATTTCCTCTCCATTCAACCGTCCAATTTAGATCAAATAAGTTATTGACCGTTGGATCTAGATCTGAAGCCTCGAAGTATTTTATTTTGACTATGCAATATGGTACGTGTTATCATTTCAGAGGTATGTTGGTTATTTTATTATATTAGAAATGAATTTTTTATATTTTTTGCAAATGCAAGTTTAAGAGAGGAGTGGATGCCCAAAATTTGGTGTCAAAATGTTATGTCGAAAAAAAAATAAAAACAAAACAATATAGAAGTGTGGCATTGTAATAGGATCCATCTCAGACATTCGTTCAGATATGACATCTAGATAAGGGGAAGTATAACTACGATACACTAGGGGAAGTTTAGAAATCTTGCCCTATTATGTACAGTAATAAGTTTTCAGTGATTCTAGCTATTTTTGGTCAAGGACATGTAATGTTTAGCACATTACTTTGAATAAAGTAAAAACACCTCTTTAAAAAGATAAACTTATATATAAAACTGCCTATAAGTTTAATTCAGATAACTTTGTGATGGAAATAACCAAATAACAAATAACTTGTTATTAGAATTAACTTTATTGAAGCAATGAATTGACCGTGATAACCAATACATCCAAAACGCACTTAGTGTACAATTATATCAAGCTATACAAAATTATTCTAAAAATTTTGCAAAATATTTGAGTCATGTAAATGTGAGGGAATCGTTAGATACTCCTTCGTTGTATAAAAGTTACCAATGCAGTTCCTGAGTGTACAATTATATCAAGCAATACAAAATTATTCTAAAAATTTTGCAAAATATTTGAGTCATGTAAATGTGAGGGAATTATTAGATACTCCTTCGTTGGATGAAAATTACCAATGCAGTTTATCTTTATTTATTGGAAAAAAGATCACTAAGGCCACATTTGTTTCATTGTAGAGCTCTATCCATCATATAAGTAAGTACTTTCATAACAAAATTGATGTGAAAGCACTTTCTTGTGAATATCTATTAGTGGCGTGGTTTAGACACATTGAGGACTTTTATTATAGCCAAAATGTCTAGCTTTTTCCCATTAAACAAACATGAAAAGCAGTAGGCCAGATTGTTCACGCCCCCAAATTTCTAATTTCTAGAAACGCCTTTGATTTATCAATTATGGCTCATAGATTCTTTGGGCTTCTCTTTGTCCTCTCTTATCTACCAAATAACATTATGTTTAGAGGGGATTTTGATATGAAAAATATTTTTTTAGCAAAAAAATTGATATTAAAGTGAGGTTAGAACTTTTGAGAGTTAGGGGGTTCATCAATTCCCTCAACAATGTATTTTGGCTCGAACCAGGGCACCATATATTGTCTCCCCTAACAATGTGTTTGGCTCATGAAACCACCAACTATGTCCCCTTCATTGCAATCCATATGTATATATGTATATAACTTACATTGTAAACTAGATAGTTGATAGCTTTACTAATCAACTCATATACATCCAAACATAATCCTGCAATTCAAACAAAACAGAAAAAGAAAATTAGAAAAAAATGTCATAAATTATATATTATGTGTTTTGGGGATGATTAAGAGGCAAAAAGGGTGACCCGGAAATGAATTAAGGCTTGAATGATGAATTAGGGTTGCGACGATCTGTTGAATTACAAATGATAATGGCAAAAATTGGAGGCTTTAACGAT